CAACAGTGGATGCTACCAGGAGGCAGTGCGGCTCTCTGTAAGAGGCCACTGCTCCTCCACGTTACTCCCCCTTTCATACAGAAATGGCTGCAGTTTCCCATCATGGCAAGGGCTGGGCTGTCTTTCTTCCACCAAACGCTCTGCTAGCTGACAGGGACCATGGAGCTGTGAAAATAGAAATGGGAGGGGAAAGGCTGGTAAAGGAGTTACTTACTGCAATGTGGTCCTAGTCTACAAATAGAAGAATTAACAGCTCACACTGTCCCACAGGGAAAAGCTAATATGCAGAAAAGGGCCAATAAGTTTTAATTCCTACTTTTCCAATTATTATGGAAGTCAAAGATCTTCAGACAGAGAAAAACGCCAGACTTCCAAATCTCATCACCAGGCTCCTTCCACTAGATCTTCACCAACAGACAGCTGTGTTGGTGAAGCAGCCATGTCCAGGGTGAACAGATAGGCCCCTCTGTAGTTGACAGAGGAGCTTGTGCTTCCTTCTACGGTCCTACAGTCAAGGCCAAAAAAAAGGTTTCTTTTATTATTATGGCACAAAAATCCTAAAGGCCTATAGGCAGCTCATGTCCATACTTTTCAAAGCAAATCTGTGAAGATGGGGGTTGGGGAGAGGGGAAGCAGATACAGCTCTTGAGAATTACAGGCTATGTATCTAACGACAAAAATGCAAATTTAAACTCTGAAAAAATAAGTAGTATGAGAGCGAAAGGATTATGTTTGTTGGGATACCAGAGGATCAGTTTGCACATCAAGGGCCAAATAAAACGCCAGAGGTCACGGACAGCCATAGGTGCTACTGTGTGGTCTGCTCAGAAACTGCTTAGGAATCCCAACGAGAACTGGTCCCTCCAGCACGCCAAGGGCACTGTATCAAAGCCTCTGCAGCAAGAGAGCTGGAAAGGATACCTTAGTGCCCCGGGGAGCTACGCCTCCACCTTCCACTGTCCTTTCCACGACAGCTACAGAACATTCGGTGAGCGGCTGTGCAACATTAGAGCTGTAAGAACAACATACAGGGCGGCACAGGCACACGACGGACGTTAGGGCAAGAATACATTTGTGCACACGCAGAGTTAAAAGCCAATTCCAGAAAGTCTGGCAGTGATATGCCGCCATGCTGCTCATTTCAGAGGTGACAACGCAAGATCCAGTGGTACAAGCTAAACACGTTTTCAATCTTAGACATTCTATTTCAGAAACTAATACAGTTAACAAGGCCGAGACATTTAGTGTTTTTAATGACCTCTTTTTTTTTTGGTGAGGAAGATTCGCTCTGAGCTAACATCCGTTGCCAATCTTCCTCTCTTTTTGCTTGAGGAAGATTCGGCCCCAAGCTAACATCTGTGCCAGTCTTCCTCTACTTTGAATGTGGGTCACTGCCACGACATGGCTTGAGGAATGGTGCTGGTCCATGCCCGGGATCGGAACACGTGAACCGGTGAACTTAGCCTGCAGAAGTAGAGCGCGCCAGACTTAACTGCTATGCCATGGGGCTGGCCCCTAATGATCTCTTTTTTTAAAGGTGTTTTCCATGGATGCTTATTGGCATCATATGACCGACACAGTAAAAATCAAGTAAGTCACCCTAAAAACAATGGTCTTTACTGTTTGAGACTAAGAGAAAAACCACATAAGGCCGTCCTAGCTACTGTTTGAGAAGCCTGTGTTGTGGACTGCTCGTCAACAATGTCTTTCAGGTGAAAGGCTATGTGTGGCCCATCAAGTCATTAAATCCAGCTGCATGTATGTTCTCTGTATCTGCCAGACCCCAGGACTCAACTTTTCAGGAAAAAGATGTGCTGTTTTAATTTTGATGAAAGTTTTAATTTCAATGTCTTTCTCGTAATTGTTTCAAACTGGAAGAAGCCAGAGTTGAAAAAGTTACTCATTATCCTTCCATACATTAATTTATACATGTTCAGGAAAACAGATCACTTTCAGGTCCATAAAAACTACACTGGTTCAAAAAAGAAAATTTACCACAAAGTTCCAGCAAAAAAAACCCATCTACATTGGCTTGTTCAAATTTCTAGAAGAGAAAGATGAGGTCCACAGCTCAGTTCAACAGGGAGAGGCCACTGTGTGAAGGAGGTTCAGAGGGTTGCACTGGGAGGGCGCCACGGCTGGCACTTGAGTCCCTGATGGGAGCACCAGGGACAGGCCAGCCGACCTTGTCTCAGAGAACTGCAGAGCTTACAGGGGCCTTAAAACAACCTACTCCTTCTTATCTTCTGACAGAGGTAGGAGCTAGGTCACAGAAGGACACCTTGCCAGTTGGTGGCAAAGATGAGACTAGAGCCTCATTTTCCCATGTTTCTTTTTTCTTTCTTAATTTTTTTTTTGAGGAAGATGAGCCCTGAGCTAACATCTGCTGCCAATCCTCCTCTTTTTGCTGAGGAAGACTGGCCCTGACCTAACATCCGTGCCCATCTTCCTCTACTTTATATGTGGGACGCCTGCCACTGCATGGCCTGCCAAGCGGTGCCATGTCCACACCCAGGATCCGAACCGGTGAATCCTGGGCTGCTGAAGCAGAACGTGCGCACTTAACCGCTGCGCCACAGGGCCGGCCCTCCCATGTTTCTTAACATCAGTTATTCTGACTCCAAAATAAAAATATCTTTGAAAACATAACAGGACTGAAGATCACTAATGAGCTGTTTTAGGATTACCTAAAACACTAAGTTAGATAATACTCCAGTTTGTTTTAGTGATTGAGTTTTTGGTAATAAGTGCTAACTTGTATTCACACCCAGGCACTTCATTTGCCCGCCTGCTCGCCTGACTATATTCCCTCAAATGCACATAGATGCAAAATGAGAACACGACTCAGTTCATCCCACTTCACCATCAAGGTGCTTTTCAGAGGCTCTTACCTTCTCTCAGTTGCATTTGGAGGACCTCATCAGAGAATTTTCTGCAAGTTCTTTGGCTGTGGCTGAACCAAGAAAGGCTTTTGAGTTCTCATTATATGACTGTCAAAGTCAAATTGAGTTTCAGTCAAGAACCCATTTAGCCAAGATGGAAACACTATGTTGCTTCAAGAGCTGTGAGGGTGTGAGCTGGTTTCAAGTCTTGCTTATGTGGTACCTTCAGGAAGTGGTTGAGCCATCAGTGAGTAACTTTCAAACAGTCAACACTGTAGCAGGGGCAGCTTGCCAGAGAAGCACAGAATCAGACAAGAAGCCAGCACCGGCAGTTGTCTGAAGTCCTGCCCCGTGCAATGACAGGCAAGAACCACACTGACGCCTACAGGGTTTCAGTAACGTGCCATGTTCTGGATTGGTGTCAGTTCTAGAATTTTGAAATGTTTTGTGATAAGGGATTAAGCTGGATTTGGGAGGTAGGTTTTCAAATCACTGGAAAAACCAAAAGAGAAACATATTGTGTTAAGAAAAAAAAAGTGACCCTAAGTTTGAAGATGTAGGATACAACATGTGGAGCCCTAAACTGTCAAGACACATGCAGAGATTTCCTGTGCTACCAGGGTTCAAGCTGTATCATCTGGCCTGTATCTTAGAATCTACGTAAGAAACGCAGCGTCTCATACAGTCACTTATTTAGGGCCACCACACAGACTCAACTTGTCTTTTACAATTTATCTTTAACATAATGTATATATGAAGCAATGCAAGTTACGATTTGGTTCCTCTTCCAAAAACACACCATATAAAGGCAAGACAAGTGAACAAATACACAAAAGCAGACACAAAAGCAAATGAGAATGACCTTGCAATCATTTCAACAGGGAACACTATGAAACCTACTTTTCCTATTCTTCTCCTTTAACTTAAAATCCACATACTTAGATGGCCAGAGCGCACAGGTGTGACTGCAGAATAATGATCTTGATTTTCAAGAGTAATCGTGGAACTAGCTACACGTCGTATTTTAATCCTTCCCTGGAGGCTGTTTTATATGAAAGTCATAAACAAGGGAATGAGGGCTTGATTGGAGAAAGTTTGGTAAGAGAATCGAAAGAGTTCTGGGAAGAAATCTACTCTTTCCAACGTCATGAAATTCATGATAACGCAACAGACCCAAAGGCTCAGAAGCTAGCCAATGACACCCCCTGATCCTGGAAAACATGTAATAAGGGCAAACTATACAAATCAGCATTCAGAACCCACTAAGTCCGATTTAAAAATACTACATTTTATATTTGAGAGATATCTGAAAATTAAAAACAGTTTCCTAATATCCAAAAATCTCAAAGTTCAGGACATTTTTTGGGAAAGGCAACACTGCATTAGTTAAAGCCTAAACTACTGTTTATAATCTTTTTTGTAAACCACTTAAATTTTAAATAATAATTAACTTTGAGCTCACCTTAGGAACACCTTCCTCTGAAACGTGTCTGTTAAGAAGAGCTTTCTGGGGCAAAACATCGTGTGATTTTCCTCCCTCGAGAGCAGAAGGGAAAGTCACACATCAGCTAGATGTAGGTTTTCCATGTTCACCCTTTTTAACAAAGTGGGTTATTTCAACGACAGTTTGAAGTAGCCCACAGATGCTGCCAATAAAGAAGCATGTCCCTGAGCCAGGAGGAAGGAATCTGGGAGCGAGCCCAGCTTTCCCACTGCCTGACAGTGACCTATGAAGGTGTGGCTGCTGCCTGCTGAAGTGTGTGCCTCCCTGCACTAATAAGCTCTAAAGGTTAAGGAGCTTCCTAGACATTACTTCTACTCTTTAAGTCTAGGAGGGACTTGGCCAGAACTTTTGTACATATGAAAGTGAAGAGTTTTCCCATCACCATAGGCCAGACAATGGCAGTGACTGGGCACTAGATGGAAGGTTCCTAGTCACGTAGTGGTGGCAGCAGAGATAGAGTAAGCATAGAAAAGACATGAAGAATCTGGCACAGAGAGACACAAAAGCATCGTATCTCTAGACAATAAAGGCCCATGCACGGTAATTAAGTGAGAAGCCAAGCACTGTGCAGGCGCCCATCAGATCACGGACGAGCAGCTCCACTTGTGACCAACCTGCTGTGGCCCTGCATGTCCCCCAGCTCCTTCTGCAGCCTGGCATTCTTCTCCTCTTCCTCCAGCAACTTCCTCTTCACAGTGCGCAGCTCCTGCTGGGCCTCACACTTGATGTCATTGGCCACCACCACTGCAGTCTGCAGGTCCGCCTGGAACCGCCTCCACTCCTCGGTCTCCTCCTGAAAATGCCAGAGTCCACACCCAGGTCAGACGCCAGCCAGGGCTGGCACCTGGGCAGGGTCTCCAGGGTCCCCCGTGTAGGTCATCAAGAAGACCGGCCGGGTGTACTTAGTGAAGCACTGCTCTAATGGTATCTCGCTACCGGCAAAAGGCACAGGTGGGAATTACACCTTCGTGTTATCAGAGTTCTCCATCCTGAAACTGAATGGCTGCTTTAATTTTACTTCCTGCCAACACTAATTTGTGGTTCCAGGGCCCATGCCACGGAAATGTACTATGAGAAAGCAGACTAGAGAGAGAAATCATGGTATTTTTCAAAGGTTTCCAAACCTAAGACGGGTATGCTTCAGTAAAACGATGGAGAAGGTTGCCTGTCCCTTGCTGTAGCCACATCTCACCTTTATCTGCTTAGTCAGAGTCTTGAGCTGCCTTTCCAGGTCTGACTTCTGTTCTTCCAGCTTCATCACATTGCCTAGAAATAAACAAGTCAGATGGGAGTTGGAAAAGTTGCAAGACTCTTGGGAGAAGGTAAGCCAGGGAGCAACGAGTAGCTCCAGATTCTGCAACAGGCTTTTTTTTTTTTTTGAGGAAGATTAGCCCTGAGCTAACATCTGCCGCCAATTCTCCTCTTTTTGCTGAGAAAGGCTGACCCTGAGCTAACATCCGTGCGCATCTTCCTCTACTTCATATGTGGGATGCCTGCCACAGCACAGCTTGTCAAGCGGTCCATGTCTGCACCCAGGATCTGAACCTGCGAACCCCGGGCCACCAAAGCGGAACGTGCAAACTTAACTACTGGGCCGTCCCCTATAACGGGCTTTAAAATCCATCCATTCTACTATAAATTCCATTCTTAGCACCCTAAAAATGGGGAGCTAGAAGCAGAAGGTTCTGCCAAGATAGAAAATGGGATGATTTGGAAAATAAGTGTTATTTAGTTAGATTACACCCTCAGATGACGGGTTGTACAACCATGTAGCACCATGGGAAGAGATCTAAACAGCCACTCACCCTTACTACATTTACTCTTGGCTTCCCTGAAATTCACACACAATCGTCCTGAAGGGCCTCTACCATTGTGAGGTAGAGAGCTTTTGTATAACAGATGATATGACTGGTTACTACTATTGTGCCTTTTAGCCCAGTTTCTAGAGTTGTGGTTCTTAATCGCAGTTAAACCTCAGAACCACTTGCGAAGCTTTTTGAAAGAGCAGATGTTCAAGCCCTAGACTCTGACCCATGGAATCTGAATCTCCAAGGGTAGCCAGGATCTGGGGGATGTGAATCTTAACAGCTCCACAGACGACTTGACTACCTCTCCCCAATTAGAAACGTCTTCAGTCTCTCACTCTCTCTGCCTCCAATTCTCTCCAAGCTGCTAACAGTCATTTCCATTTAAATCTGATTACATCCATTACCTAGTTAAAATTCTTCAGTGGTTCTCCATGATCCATTCCAGACCAGTAGTTGTCTATTAAGCATATGAATCAGAATTACCAGAGAAGCTTTAAAAACAACAACACATGGTCAGGTCCTTCCCCAGAGGTTCTAATTCAGCACGTGGGGCCTGAGAATTTGTGTGTGAGGTCAATGCTGCAGAAGAAGAAAACACTCCTTTTCATTTTTCTGTCCCCTTCTCTCAAAGATCTTATGGGGAAGAGTGACTGGTCTCGGGCTGGATTTGTGTGTCCCTGGATCTCCTAGTGAAAAGACATCTTAATAATACCTTAACATCCCTGACAGAAGTTAAAAAGCTTCTCCAAAGACGCACGGTCTGTGTTATTTTCAATCTTGGATATATTATGCTATAACCACAGGGAGTGGGCCTGACATTGGCTCTGGACATTAATTACATGTTGGCTTCCTTGGTGTGTCTGTGCTGACCTTTAAGGATTTGGGGACAACACAGCCAAATTCTCAACAGCAATATATCACAAAAACAAAAACAAAACTCTTCTCTATGGCACTGTGTCTGGAAATATACATGACAATGGCAGCTGGGTTTTTCTGTTGTATTCTAAAGCATGACTATCGAGAACAGTCTGAATGACACTGACACTGAATGCCCACGTTCTACACTTCCACTGCATGTCACGTCTAACGAACAATGGAACTCTGACACTAACCCATCAATCAAAGTGTAGAACACACAGTCAGTTGTCATTATTTGTAGTAGTTACATAAAGTTGACATGCACACCGAATTAGCAAATACTGAACTGTAGCTCCTACAGGAAATAACAGGGTTAGGTTCCCGCGAGCCTCTGGTCACAACATTTTCATCAAACAAAATGCTGTGTGCATTACAAAGGTTCGTTTGCAAAGGTCCTTGTAAAAAAAGCCCGTCCAATTAGTGCCGGAAACCTGCTCGCCCACGTAACTTTTCCTGCGTGACACTCAGAAGAAACTCTTCCCTGGCCTCCTCATCTGCAGAACCTGCCTCACTTGCAAGTTTTAAACTTTTCTCAGCTGTGTGGCCTTTTGAACCATGCCAGCCAGTCAGCACTAGCTGAGAAGGGTTTAACACTTTCCTGACCCTGGGAAATGTGACCGTAAATTTCTCTGGTTTTTGGCTTCACAACAATGCTGTCCACTACATTTTTTTTCAATCGGCCGTCATCTAATGAATCCACAAATTGAGCTGCTTTTCCATGTTTTCTACAGCTTCATCATGCACCCTGGACTTTATGTCAGCACCTTCTGGAGCAGTCTCATATACAGATCGGTGAAGTTCCTCTTCTTTTCTCAGAAGTTTCAACACTGAACGATTCAATGAACACTGCTGATTCACTAACCGTGAACTCACGGCCAACAGCACCGTAACTCGTGCTTGAACAGAGCTTATCTAACACGTGTATTTTCTCCATAAGGCAGATCACAGCTTTCCTGCGGCTAGGGACACAAGACAGCGTTTCAGGACTACACTTGGGGGCCATTTTAAACAATGAAACCATCAACAAAAAGCTCAAAAATGCAAAATATGTGGCACTAAATAAACTGTGGAGAAACTTGTTTACAGCATGAGAGCTGAAACAAGAAGGTGGAAGGGGCCGGCCAGGGGGTGCAGAGGTTAAGTGCGCATGTTCCACTTCAGCGGCCCAGGGTTCGCCAGTTCGGATCCTGGGTGCAGACATGGCACTGCTTGGCAAGCCATGCTGAGGCAGCATCCCACATGCCACAACTAGAAGGACCCACAACTAAGAATATACAACTATGTACCAGGGAGCTTTGGGGAGAAAAAAGGAAAAACAATAAAATCTTTAGAAAACGAAAAAAAGAAAAAAAAAAAGGTGGCGGAGCATCACCTTGTTTGGCCCGAGCGGGGCATGAGCTCTGGAGACCCGAATTTTTCTTCGCCTGCACATGTCTGTGAATGACTGCGGAAGTGTTGCGAGTACTGATTTGGGGGTTACAAATAAATTTTGGCAAGTGAATTTGCAAATATGGATTCCACGAATAATCAGGAAGGGCTGTACATGTTGTGTAACTTTTCAGGCAACTAACTGACTATGCTGTTTTTAGCAATGGCTAGTGTCACTAAAAGCTCTGTGCATTCATTCTTTTGTGACAAAAGCCAAAAACATTAGCTGTGATAATTTGATAAGGCTTATTTGGACAAAGCAGGCAATGTTTAACCTCTTTTAAAAATGTCTTTCCCTATTCAAAGCAAACAATGAGTTCATAAATTAGCCATATACTGATGCCTCTTCAGTAATGAAGTGGCCAAAATCTCTAAGTTATTTGATATTCTCCCATCAATGGGACACATGCTGGAATCGTTTTCTCCCTGAGACCATGAGCACACACTGTTCGAATCAGTCCGACCATCTGTCAACCGTCTTTCCATCCATCAGATCCAAAAGACAACACATTGTCAATACCTGATGTATGTGGTCAGCAGTGTGGCTCACACACAGTACACCTAACACTCCAAAATGTTTGCTTTTTCACAATCACCCCATACTGTTGATTCTCATTCAACAGTCTTTTCTTCTACCTCACCCAGTTTTCCACTTAGCTTAAGAGATTAATTATTCTGTCGTTCTTAATTGCCATTCTTCCTAGGACATTACAGAACCCTCAGAAGGAAGACTTTTCATAAACATTCTCACATGCCCTCCCAGCCACCCACCGCTGTGGTTTCCTTTGTGTCCCACTCGCTCCTGATCCACGTTTCAGGCTCTGACTGCACTTACTTTCTAGCTCGCTGATGAGCTGATTATTATGTAACTTGACAGCTCGATGCTGTTCCACCTGATCTTCCAATTCAAATATGGTCTCCTTCATGTCTTTAATCTCTGCATCACTCTCGGATGCTTTCTCTTGCAGTTTTAGGCTGGTTCGGCTCAGCTGTTCTGCTTGATGATCACATAGCTCCTTCAAGTAAGAATAATCCTTTTCCACCTAGAATAAAAGGAAGGTTCCCTGGTCAATTTAACAGGAAAAAGTTCCCCACACATCAGCATTGGGCCCATCATCGCAGCAGCAAAGGAAGCTCTCGGAACGTGCCGTACATGGTGTCATTTCTCTATTCTTAGCCTCAGAAATAGCCAAGGCGACAAATATTCAGAGAAATATGATGTATGTAACAGGCCAAATGGATGGATTCTGTGCCCCTTCCTACGTCATAAAGAAAGCTGCGTGTGCTTATATACCTTTCTCTCCTGCACCAGGGTGGAACAGCGCTTGGCTGGAAGGCTCCGACACTGCACCATGAGAGCCGGCCCGGCTGCCTGAGTGAGGATGCCCGCTGCACATCTGCTAGGGAGCAGCGCCCTCTGCTGGACATCCAGGAACAAGGCCCCTGAGACCTGACAGATCCCCTGCAAACCCCAAATCTCTAGCCATAAAGTACTTGTGGTTACAGTGTATCTTTAGAGGAACACAACATTAATGCAACAGAGAACGCAGGCTGAAGGCACAGAACATAGAAATGGGCATGCACCAGACACGGAAAAGTGGCAGAGCAGTCACTCATTCCACCTTTTCAATTTTTAATCATTAAGCATCTTAGATACTATACAGAAAAACACCAGAAGTGACGAGATAACCACGTACCCTAACAGACAGTGGTCAAATTTTTGCCACATTTGCTCAGTCTTTTTACTTTAACAGGATTTGTTAAAGTCTGAAATCTTCGCTCTGACCCCAGAGAGTAACATACATCCTCCCAAAGCTGGCGGGTGGTCGATCCTTGAACTGGTTTTCACTTTTACAATATATGTATGTGCCCATGACAATACACAGTACTGTTCTGGATTTTTAAAAATTTTTACACAAATGATATTATACTGTATATGCTTGTGTAATGTAACATATTATATACTGCACTGTATTATATGGTAATATGCTTTTGTTTCGTATATACTATGCTTACTATACATTTGTAACTTGTTTTTAACTGTTTTTGAGACGTATCCATATTGATACACTTGGTTCCAGGTCATTACTTTAAATGCTGCATAGTGTTCTATTGTCTGAATATCCTAAATATTATTATGAACTATGCCCCTTTTCTATAGTCCTTTAATTCATGTTACTAAACAGCTGTATATTTACCGGTAATGTAAGCTTGATAGTTAACAGATTTCTGCCTAGATTTTGAGGGGAAGGATCTCCATATACAATAGGAATTTTGGGGTCCGGCTCTGTGGCTGAGTGGGTAAGTTCGCGTGCTCCACTGCGGCGGCCCAGGGTTTCACCGGATCGGATCCTGGGCGCGGACACAGCACTGCTCATCAGGTGACACTGAGGTGGCGTCCCACATGCCACAACTTGCCGGACCCACGACTAAAAAGAAATATACAAGTATATACTGGAGGGATTTGGGGAGAAAAAGCAGGAAAAAAAAGGATTGGCAACAGTTGTTAGCTCAGGTGCCAATCTTTAAAAAATAAATTTTTTTTCCAACTGCATTTAATGTGCAAAACCTTCCAGTTGTAAAGCTCTATGGGGACAGGGAGCCTGTCTGCTTTCTTCGCCACTGTATCCCTGGTCCCAACACAGTCAGACACATAAGAGGCACCTAATAAATATCTGATGAATGAATAAGGAAATATTAGAAGGCAGTATTGCACTGTTTTTCAATAAGGAAGGAAGGGAAGGAGGGAGGGAATACAAAGACAGAGAACAGCACGGGAAAGGACCAGAGCACACGGCCTAGGTTAAGGGTGAGCACTGTTCAGTGAAGCTTGTGTTTCAACTATAAAGGTATATGGCTCTATACTGCAATATAAAATACATCATTGTAGGCTGCGCTCAAAGTCTGAAGGCTGCTGTGGTACATCAAAATGGCTAAGGGTGCGGACCTGGAGCCGGACTGCCAGAGTTTAAATAAACATCACTTCTAACAAACCAAGCCCTGTGTTCCTTAATCTCTCTGCCTCGGTTTCGTCATCTGAACAATTAAATGAAATAAGGCATTTTGAGTTTATCACAGTGCTTGGCACATGGTAAAAACTCAATAAAAGTTATTATTTCTCTCCTAATTGCCTTAGGTCTTAGAGCATACAGTATTAGATAATAATACAGGTCCAAGAAAATTACAACATGTGGGAAAGACCAAAAGTCTTATATCTTATAATAGGTCCTTTAATAAACAGAAGATCACTCTTAAGGAGAAAAGAGGCTGCATTTTAGATGCTAGAAAGTTGACGTCTGACAGCCCTTGAAAAGCAGCAACAGAAGGTCGCTTGTGAGTCTTGCATCCAGAATCAGACCGTGGCTTTCTGCAGAGCTGGCTGGAACCCTCAGGCTGAGGGCTGCTCACCTGGACGTTACTTGGCTGGGCCTAGTGTGGGTCAGGAGTAAAACCGGGGACGTAACCAGGTAACAGAAAGGTTGAGCGCCCTGAGGAAGGTCTCTGTGTGCAGCTAAGGCTGCTGGCTTCTTGGAGGCTCTGACCCCCTTTACTTCGTATGTGTTGGCTCATCATGATCACAAGCACCAAATGGTAAGCGCAGGGGTTGGGGGCCACTGCAGCGTGGGCTGCGGGCTGGTGGGGTAGGTAAACCAAATCAACATACTGTTTCAAATTACAGATTTCATTCTTCTTTCTTGATTTTGGAATCATTCTCTCAAGTTTAGCAGTATATTCCAGAAAGCTCTTTTATTTAAAAAAACAAACAAACCCTTAAGTAACTTCACAACTTCTTCCCCTGTGGGCTTGCTAAGTAATAACATGCAGGTATTTTTATATTCATTTTACAGATCAACAAACGGAGAAAGGGAGAAATTAAACCATTTGCAAAGAACAATCCAATTTGTCAAGTGGCTAAGACGAACCCCCTGTACTCTGACGGGTCTTAGTTCTAGGTCGTCTTCCACATCACTGGCCTGCTGCTGGCCTGTTCTTTTGAGTCTAGTGTCTCTCAGTTCAAGAACTGCGCTATCAGACACCCAGCAGTGTGCTTTCCAATGTTTCCCTTTAAGAAATCACTTTCATGCATTCCAAGCACCTCTCATCTTCAAAAACCAACCTTGTCCAGAAATGGGGTGTGTGGGATTGCGCTACAGATAGATTCAAATGAATTTCCCCGGAGCACCAGTCCTCCCTAGAGAGGGAGCAGTGAAGCTGTCCTCGAAGCTCTGACAGCCACCAAAGGCAGATGGCAGCAAAGACCATTCAGGACTCTCCTGCAGGCACTGCTCCTCCAGTGCCTTGTCACGTACCTGCTGGGAGCAGGATGCAGGGAATGGCAGGCAGCTCTGAGACAGACCAGGCTAGAATCTGGGCAAGTGTCACCACCTTTCCTCTGGCCCGCCAGACACTGAAAGTGAGGAAAAGGTATTGTCTCACATCTGGTTCCCAGGGAAACAGACTGTGAGATGGGGATGTGCATGCAGGAAGTGTACTGAGGAGCGTTCTGGGGATCCACACTCGTAGGAGAGTGAAGGGAGCAAGACTAGGCAGGAAAAGAGGAGCTGCAAGGCAGGCACAGCAAAGGCCTCAGCCAATCCCACAGGCACCCCTGCACCTAGGATGCCCATCAGAGTTGTCCCAAACTGAAGCAAGAGCCTGGGCCTGTATCCCTCCCCACCACAATGGACTAGCCACTGGGTGCAGCTACCCTTGGGAAGGTGGACCCTTTGGCAAGGCAGCTCTCCTTGCAGAGGGCAAGTCCTGGAGGGGGACTCAAGCTGGGCAGCCAGCAGCCATCACTCCCCTGCAGCTGGGGGAAGGAGTGTTTCAGTCCTCGGCGGGGCCCTGCAAGTGTACCCCCACCCACTGCAGGTATTAGAGAGCATTCTGTGCTGGGTGAAGTGGTGCCACAGACACACCCAGATTCTCTTCCACGGGAAATGAACAAATGGCCGTGAGGTTTTACCACTAGACAATCTGACTACAATGAATAAAGATCATCTACAAGGGCAGAGAACGGTAAAAAGAAGTTAAGAATCCTACCTACCCATCTTCAATAACATGTTCTCCCCTGACGTTGTTGAGACTCTTTGCAAACCTCGGCAAGTGTAAAATGCATGAGTAGGAGAACATCCTGGTTATCCACATTTTTACTGCTTCTAAAGATACCAGAGGAGCAAAGGGAGACAGAATGTAGGCAAAAGAAGAGAGGTGGCACCCAGCCTTGGAGGCACTTTGACCTGAGGATTTGTGTGTGGCTGGATCAGCAGGTTCTGAGGGCAGCCTGGCTTGCAGGACTGGACGTTTCTGGCTCCACTATTCGCACATCCACTTGGCAACTGTCCTTCCTCAAACCCTCTCCATGTCCTATGGTCCCTCTCAGTAAACAGCGCAACCACACATCCAGCCACACAAGCTAGAGATCTGTGAATGAACGGAACCCCCTCTTTCCTGCACAGCCCCAATGTGAGGTCGCCAAACCCTACTGAGCCTACTTCCTAAGCGTCTTTCCAGCCCATGTCCTCCCTCCTACCCGACCCCGTTCAGTCCTTCATTCTTTCTCGCTTAACTGTGGCCAAAGTAATCTTTCTAAACGGCAAATGTGATCCTGTAAATCCCACTTCAATTTCTTCAGACCAAAAGCACAAGTAACAAAAAAGAAAAGAAGGTAAATTGGATTTCATCAAAATTAAAAACTTTCAGGCCTCACAGGAAACTATCAATACAGTAAAAAGATAATCCAAAGAATGGGAGAAAATATTTGCAAATCATGTATCTGATAAGAATATATAAAGAACTCCTACAACTCAAAACAACAAGACAAATACTGCAATTTAAAAAACGGGTAAAGGATCTAAACAGACGTTTCTCCAGAGACATACAGATGCCCGATAAGCAGATGAAAAAATTCTCAACGTGATTAGTCGCTGGGAAACGCAAAACAGAACCACAATGAGATCCTACATCACACCCACTAGGATGACTATAGTAAAAATTTTTTAAAAATGGAAAACAACAAGTGTTGGCAAGCATGTGGAGATAT